CGGCCTTACTGAAAGGGTACTGCTGAACATGGAGTAAACACGACTGAATTCCAAGCTGGACATTCAAGTCCAAAAAGAATTACTCAATTTACTGGCAGGTTCAATGTGCCACTCTCATGCAGAAAGGCAGTGTTGATCTCTGTTTCCTCAAGGACTTAAAAAAATGCTTTAGGAGACCAGTCTTCCGATGCTGTATCTTTATGCATTCTTGCCCAACACCAGAGAAGCGAGAGGTAACTTGACTACTGTCTATTTTGGTTTCAGCTGCCCAACGTTAAGAGTTGGTGCTTTCTGCCCATCTTCCCTAACTTAGTTTCCAGGTCTCAGACGGGTCTCAAGGAGCTTACAGCAACATTTCACTCCAGCCAAATGACAGGATGTGCAGATATTAATAAGCACACAACTTATAGCAAGTATTTTGGATAATCTTCTGTGCCTTCACACTCCAGTGCTTTTCTCCTACCCCTTAGAAAAAAAATATTTCTTTCCCTTGCTGGACACTAGCCTCTGCTCCTCTGGATTTTGTGAGGTGCTTCAAAGCAAATATGAAACCCGCTTCATGTGCTTCTTTGGCCAGAGTGACCCATATGTTATTTTCCAATCAACTGCTGGTCCATCACACTGAACAAGATTCTCTGCTTCCTTACTAGTGAATAGCCAAGATGAAGTCTTCTCCCACAAATAATATCTGAATGCCATGTCTCCTCATCTCAAAGAATAATAAAAAGCCTCATTAAGTACAAGTTCATTAAGTAACTCTAAAAGTTATGATGATACAGGACTGCTGTATGTAGTTTTCAGTTAGTTTGGTACGAACATTAATACATAGTAATTTTGTTTCTGATGATATCACCAGACGGAAGCTGTTATGTGAGCAAGAAATCCTCAGATTATTGCCCAAACTGTGTTTTTTGGTGATTTGATAAGGTAGCAAGCCTTAAAGCAGGATTTTACTAACTGAAAACTACATCCAGGTAGAAGATACTGGGGCTCTTCTCTTATATCAACATAAAAAAGTGAATTTACTTGGTCTCTAGGTTTCTAAGAGAGAGGTCTCCTTCCTCCACTTTTTGTTACATAAATTATTAGTAAGACTGTAATATGGATTCAATACTAGTATTAACAGAGAGTATACAAAAGATGAGGACACACTCACAATATACTCATCGTTTGAATTTATTTGTCAAACAATCATGTCTACATACTGCCTCTCAGGTAAGTTCAGCTTCTTATAATACTGTTTGTCAAAAAGTGTACAGGTAACCTGCGCTGGGAAGGTGAGAAAGACAGGGCCCAACTCTGCCTCGGAGAAGGAAAAGAGGATGGAAAAGAGGCCTTTGCAGGCCAACCCGCATATCTGCAAGCTGCTGCACTGCTGATGAATTAGGCTCTTCTAGCAGACAAGCTGTGTGTTGCATGCATGAACTAGGCTGTTGTAAAACACAGCCAGCCACACATTAGAGCACTTTATAAACCAAGAACCTGTATGGAACATTACAGCTACTTTTCACCAAAGATACAGGCTTGCTGTGTATGCCAACCAGGCACTATTCAGATTTTAGAAATAAAAAATTCTTTATAATAATAAAAAATACAGATTAAAAAAACCACAATGTGGAGGACTGTATGGGAATGACAACAAACATACAACGCAAATCTATTTTAAATGAAGAAAAAAATGAAAGATTGTAGTGACTGGCCATGTAACAGTCAGGCTGCATGCTCACCATTATCAAAAAAGCCCCAAGTAGCAGTAGGAATCAAAGAATAAGAGATGCAAAAATGACCACCTACCCACCCCGCATAAACAAAGGCGTACATACCAAAAGAATGAAGAACATAAAGAACACAAATGTAGTGAAATAAATTGGTCCCAAAATTCGATTAGCTTCTTCAACCTCTGTGAAGTTGAAGTCTCCCAAAATGATGCGAAACTGAGTAAATCTTAAAAAACAAAACATATCCAGCAGTTGAAAAAACAACAGTTTTGGAGCTATGCAAGAATTCTCAATCTACTTTACCCTAACAGTCTGACTGATGGGCAGCAGAGAGGTCTGCACTACTATAATGCTTCATCAGGCACTGCAATAGTCAATTCCTCAAGCCCATCTCTAGGCAAAACCAAACTTGCAGTCAGATGCCACGCACACAGAACAAAACTAGGGGGGTTTACGTCTGGCTTTTGGTCACAACTGATAACGGGGGCAACAGGAGGCAGAGCAAACCAAGGATTACCATTGCGAAGCTTTAAGACCCAGTCGCGTCCCTCTCCTATCCTTCTGCCTCTCGCATACACACAACCCCAACCTTTTCCCTCTAAAGCTGTCTGTACAGTGCCAAGGCTGGAAGAGGCTTGGCGCTGTACAGCACCATCAACATATTTCGAGTTCCTCTACTCTGCAAGAAACTTTTTGCAACGCTGCCCCAAGGTAAGAGGGCGGGGGAAATCGATAACTGAACAACCTGGTAATTACCTTAGTTAGAATCAGGTTATGTTGTACCAAATCAATAAAGGAAAAACCGATTAACAACCCTACATTAATCTCTCTCCTGGATTCCAGTAGATACTTACAAATTTACTAGTTGGCTGTCTAAGATCGACTCCATTTCTGAGTCAACCAACTACACATACTATCAGGAACACAGCCTTATTATGCATACAATATTTCAGTAAGCATTACAAACATAAGTAAGCAAATAATCATTCAACTGGTGAAGACAGAGTTAGTGCTTTGTCTAGGAATGTGACCAACTGTTATAAAACCATGTCACTTCCACCAAGCAAAAACTGCCATTTTTAGCTCACTGATCTAACTATAGCATATTTTTAATCTCACAGCAAAGACAGTTTTGGAACTAAAAATGTGATCAAAAAAGGCATTTTCTACTGAGCTACATCAACAGTGATATGTCCGCAGCTTATCTGTTTAGATGGATGTCATAGGATTTGTTTGGTCTATGATGAGGCAACCAAATCCATATACTGAGAAATTCTTTGCATTTTTTATTCTTTTACTTACATGCAGTCCTGGAAAGTGCTGAAGTCATCAATTTGAGTGCCAAAGACAAGATAGGCCAACTGAGCATATGCTAAGAAAATAATAAAAAACATAATAGCAAAGCCAATGACATCTTTGACGCAGCGAGACATGGTAGTGGATAACTGACTCATTGTTCTGTTGAAGTTAACAAACTTGAAAAGCTATTAAAAGAAAAAAAAAAAAAAAACAAACAACTGTAAAGCCAAGGAAGACAACAATTTCTTAACACAATTGCTCTCCAGCCTTTTACATGTGAGATGTCTTACTGAATCTGACTGGAGACAAAGTCTGTTTCAGTTAATTTTCATTCAGAAATACATCACTTCCTAAAAACACTGAGGCTTGAAATGTGCAGAAAATTCCGTGAGAACACCAACTTCTTGTTTGGGTGTGGGGTTTTGTTTGTTTGTTTGTTTTTTCACTCCTCTATTTGGCACCCTGGCTTCAGAGCGGTGTTATCGAAATGCTTCCAAAAGCGTATTTATCATCTTCATCTTCAATGAAGATGTTAGCTATGAAATAGTAATATGCGAGAAAAGAAGATCTCACAGCTGACTTTGCTCAGAGCACGCAGTTGGACTAGGGACTTCCCGAAGTCCCCTCCAACCTGCATTATTCTGTTACTCTGCAGTTTACTATTATTTCTTATAATGAGCCAATTTATTTCCTTAAACATGATGCAAAAATTAGATGTAACTTTGTCTTATAAAACAGTAAGAGATTAGCTAACTTGCTTGATAAACATAAGTATCAGTTTGGAGTATCAGAGTGGAAATTCACTTATCATTGGTCTTACATTTTCCCCCATTAGACAATTTATTAACTAAATGTTCCTCTGCAACTTTATACATACAGAGGACAGGAAAATGAATATGGGCATGCAAAGAAGTATCACTAGAAAGGAGGCAGTAAAACAGAAATTAAGTTTAACTAAAGTAATATATCTAGTTTTCATATGAATTGGACTAGCTGTATCAACCCTTCTAACAATTCAGAAGTTCTGAATAGATAAAATGGACACAGTTAAACCAGGCTAGGAAAAAGCAATACCCAGTAAGAATTACTGACTTGACCAATTCAGAAATAATAAAAACATTTCTTTACATGTCTGCTGTGACAAAGCACTAGCACTGACTACATCTTCTAGACGCAAGCAAGGGCTGACAAAACCTGTGGCAAATTACAACCTTGCTTTTCACCTGCAAGAAGTTACCCCTGTGCTCTGACTTTCTCGTGTGACCAATTTTAGGAGAAACATGACTAAACCTCAAATAATATATCACGTGAAACTCAGAATACTGCTTACGTTCTAATGTTAGAATAAGGATGTGTGTCTTGGAGTTACCTTAATCCAGACAAAAAACACAGTGACTGCAGCAATGTTGTTGAATTGCATTTGCCAATATGCCAAAGGTTCAAAATTGGGGAACGAGTTCTGATCTTCCAGCAGCTTCTTCAAGAGCATATCAACAGTTGATATCCTATAGACACTAATTCCTATAGCTACCACAGAGAGCTGAGTACAAAAGAAACATACAAACATACGAACGGTGATTACAGTTTTAAAACAACTTGCTTTAGCCACATACATCAGATAAAGTTAGGATATGAGCAACACCACGTTATTTATAGCACTACCATAATGTGAGCTTTAAGTAAAAGCAAATATATTGTTTTCAAGGTGTCCTGACTACAAAGCTAAAGTTTCAAGGAAAGTAACAGCTAGAGATTTCACAGAGCCTAGGGAAAAAAAAAATAAAATAAAATAAAAAAAAATCACTGATACAAGCTTCTTGCAGTCCTCAGGGTCAACCCCGCCAGTCACTGATCACATTAGTGCTTAGGGCCAGGCAGTTGTGGGGGCTGGAGGGAGCCAGGTTTCACCACCTTTCACTCAGGAGTAATTTAACAGCCCAGTGGCTGCTGTTTATTGAGATAGACTCCAAACTAGAGCTTCTGGACATATCAGGACATGCATTTCACAACAAAACCATGATAGTCCTGGACTACAGACAAATAGCCTAGGAGTAAGAATATTTAGAAATCTTTTCCTTGCCACAGTTGAAGAACAAGATGATGGTGAAGCCTAAAAAAATGAAGCTGTCACAGAGGAGGAAATATAAGGAAAGAAAGATGACAATTCAAAAAGACAAAAGGTGAAAAAGAGTAAAGAGCAGAACGACAGCAGTAGCCAAAAAGGTACTAGAGTTTCTCCAGAGTACAGACTGACCAGTATTGCCCAGAACGAGCAGCAGCAGAGAAGCTGTATTTTTACCATACAGGTAAGGGTCTTGTTTTGACCTCTGCAAATGTGCTTTTTATTAGTGGAAGTGAATACTTCACCTTGTATACAGAGTCATAAAGTACATAATCCTAAGTTTAAACAATGTCTCTCAGACAAGGTATAAACACAGAATTTGACCCTTTTTGTGAACTGAATTTTATACTCGCGCTTGAATACACTTCACTGACTGTAACAGGAAAGCATCTCATTCCCCCCCTCCACCGTTAAGTATAACCAACGGCACACAGTTCATGTAAACATCCTCCTAAATGGTCCTTCATTTACAAAGCACTGCGATGCAAGTATGATTTCTCTAGATTACAGATACTAACTTCAAGACTTAAACCTTTGATTCGTCCAAGCCTGAAGATACAAAACAAGCATGGGACTGGAACTGTTTCAGCCCTGCTGGCTCTGTATACTTTCGGTAAGCACAGCTTGATGTAAGTCCCTAGAGAATTATATTACGTAGCTTTAAATTCAAAACTCAAGATTTTCTGCTACACCAAGATTACTGATGTGCAACACTGTCACTTAACCAAGAAAGCAGCCTTGACAGCTGCCAGCACTCTACAATTTTGAGACACTTCCTCAAACCTGGTATTAGCTGGTGAGTATTTTAATACAACTTTAGATCTCTTTGTGGTTCTTTGCGAACATATTCAAATCCCAGTCCCATTCCTCCAAATGCAAATCACTACTTTAAAGCAGACGATTTTCTTACTTGAAAGCCACTGCAATAGTCCGTATCACATATGTAGAAGAGAAATGAGGGCAAGTTTGTTACCTCCCATAATGTCTGTGCCTTTGTAGGTAAAAACTGTGAAAAAGTATACTGGACAAATACTCTAAACTTTTCACCAGGATGTGAAGGTTGAAACCACTGAAGACAGAACAAGCAAGTTTGCAAAACACACCAACATTACCACACAGACTAAAATTGTCTTATTCGGGCTGAATAGCCCAGGAGTCTGTAAGTATCCTTCCTAACGATGGCCCTATCCCTTAAACCCAAAATAAGTATACTGAGTCATTAACGTCTCCCACAAAGTGCATTTCAGAAAGCAATTTTAGCCTTATTATAAAGATTACTTACCACAATGATAAGGATATCAAGGCAATTCCAGAGACTTCTGAAGTAGTGCAGTCTATGAATGTGAATTTCTAAGATCTCTTCCACCATATAATAAAGAACAAAAAGACAAAATGCCATTTCACAGGCTGCCAGGAAAAAATCAAAAGTGGAGAGGTAGTGAATCAGCCTCACTGGCTGAAACTGCCAAGATGTAACAAGGCCTCCAGTTGCTGGAAACTCCACTAACAACCTGCATTTAAAAAAAGGCAAAGAAAAAAAAATTTTGTTTACACAGTGTTGATGAAAAGCACTACAAAAAGACACATGGGTTTGTTCACATAATTATTTAAATAATGGAAACAGGCAAAAGTCCACATATGGTTCAGAGAAGACACTACACAGGACAGAAGGTATAAACCTGACTGCACTCAATTTTGACTAAAACCCAAAACATTTCAGGAACAGTGAGAAAACAGAGAGACCTGTCTTCATCTGCATCTGTTTCATGCTGTCTAAACTAAAGACTGATGTTGTATATCCATGTATTTACTTTAGTAAACCAACTCACTAGAGAAGTCGCCTGCAAACTACACCCAAGCCGTTGTGGCATCAGGAAAGTCAGGCTGCCTCCAGATGGTGAGTGCAGCCGCCATGTAGAGTCCTACTTCTTTGACAGGGAGGCATGCCACTTCAGTTGCCTGTCTCCTTTATACAAAACATACGCTTACCCATGTCCTCAAAACAAGGCAATCACAAGAAAACCCCAAGTCTACAACCTACACTGTGCAGTCTGAACACTGTCATGGTTCTGCTCATACCTGACAACGCAGAATAGGTTGATGTTTGCATTGTATACAGAGAAATCAATGAAAGCTGCTCTGGTCCCTCTGTCGAGCCACAGATTCTTCTTAAGGCTAGCAATCTGCACAGCTGTCACTTCTCTGGTCCTTGAGAGGTCTTGGTAATAACCAGCCCCACTGTATGTGGCAATCAAGCCCCAGTGGCTGCTCCCATTCAAATCCTTCTCATTGGTGTACGTCCAACTAGTTCAGAAGTAAGTGAAACAGAGCACGTTAGTCTTTCCACTTTCAACTTACAATTAACAAAACAGACACCAACAAAACCTGACTAAAAAAACATACCAGTTACTTAAAGCTGCTTTCATTTAAGAGGTACTTGTAGAAAGTTTTGATGCTTCTACCCTGGAGAAAGAGCTTACAAAGTTCCTTTGACTAACACAACAAAATTGAGATAGAAAGATGGGTCACAAGTGTGTTAATCCTCTCACACAGAATTTCTGTCCTCAGGGAAAGAAAGAAAATTGGCATTTACATAGTTACATTCCACTTCCAAAACCTTTTACAGTTCAACTCGCACATCATCCTCCAAGAGAGGCAGTGCTATTCCCATTTTTAGCCAGGGAAGACAACTCAGTGAAACCACTGCAGTAATAGAATCTGGAATTACAGAACAGGTGCTCATGAGTTGCAGTGCTGCACTCAGACCACAGCGTGTCTCCTATGCACAACAGCTACCGACGGCACAATGACAGCACCTAAACTCAAGTGGCTCAAGAGCACAGTCCTCTCCAAGTTCAGTAAGGTTTCTCCACGAGCAGAACTGCCAGCTGCTCTGGATTTACCTGGCTTTACAGACAGAACATACAGCAAATGCAGAGTTGCCTCTGCCAAGTGACTTACTGTGAAATTTAGCATAACCCAGATCGGGGGGGGGAAAAAAAAAAAAAAGTATCTACAGGAATACTACGTACGCCGTTCCATTTCGAAGTCCGAAAGGAGCAGTATCTTCATTAGCTACAGAATAGACATCATAGCAGTCTTTGATTTCATCCTTTAAATCTTCAGGTATTGAGCACGAACCATTTCTCACTTTCAGCTGCCGAATGCGAGGCACCCCTAGGAGCAGGTTCTCGTAATAAATGAAGCTTTTGTTTTCTGCCATGGTTTTGTTGTTGTACCACATCTCCCAGTAAAGACCATCCAGCAAAGGGCCTTCTGTGAACTGGGGAGGAAGACAGAATTTTAGTTTGCACGTTGCCAGCACTGTTTTTATAGATCTTCATTCCGTGGACGTGTTAGAATCGCAGCTAATAAGTTTTCTGACATGGCCGTACTGTTACCTGTCCTCCAAAGACATTCCGTAACCTTGCCCTGCCCTGCCCCACTAGCGTTACCTAGGTTCTAAACTTTCACATATTAAAGGCCTGCTTTGTTCCATAGCTTTGACATTGTGCGCAGAGATCTTCATGCGTAACCCCCACCATGTTAGAAAAAATATCCTGCAGGTTAAATTTACAGGCCATGACAGGACAAGCAAATCACAGCAACAGAGAGATAAAAAATTGGTTTTCAATTACCTTCCAGAAGTCGTCCATTGTAGACAAAGTTTTGAAATCAGTTTTCTCCATTTTTGATACAGGTGTTTCCAGGAAGAGCTGCGACATAACCCTTGTGTAATAGTACATACTGGAACTCACTGTCCCGTAAGTTACTGCAAAAGATTTGGTAAGGAGTGAGAGGTAAAGGGGTTGGGGAAAAGAGAAGACAGAAAAAAAAGGAAAAGGAAAAAAAAAAAAAGAAAAAAGAGTACTTTGCTTGTTTTGTTTTGGATACATCAGGTTGTATTTGTATAGGTTTTGCCCTGAAAAGTTTAAGCTTCAGAACAAAACAAAATCCACACCAAGCAGCATTTGTCTGTCAACTGTGATTAAAATACAAAAAGCAGTGAAGAACAGACTGATCAATCAGTTTAAAATGCTCAGTTCTCCTTCCCACACCTCATTCTATTATTAATGCTTCTACAAAAGGTAACTTCAAGAAAAACAAAGGCAGGATTCAGCAGCCTGAAGAGAGGCAGCTAGTGGCTTTTTAGCTGACTTGTGCTATCCACGGCATCCATAGAGAGCTGGCATGGATGGCACAAGATCTCAGGAGAACTATGCCCTGCTTGAGCAGATAATGACAGTCAACCAGGATATTGCAGGGCACCGCGAATGACATTAGCCACCTACGGTTAGACAACGAAACTCCACCCAAGATGTGCAGTGCTTCTAAGAGAATCTCCCCACGGAAAATAAATGACACCGTATTACCTCTTTTCCTCACACTGGGCCAAGCATTTGGCTGAGGACCACAGAGCATAAATCATAAAATGACATACAAAGCCTTGAGAGAACAGTCTCTGGCACTGATACTGTTACTGCCTATAAATACTTAAAACCATTTTATGGCTAAAACTCAGAGAAGCCTGAAAGATTAAGTCTACACTGAACAACCTCCATCAGTTCTGACAATTTTATAAAAATATTTTATCACAAGGAGGAAAACGTGTTTTCTTTAGCAACTGGAGAACAAGGACTATTTTTAATAGATTTCTGCTGTGGCATGTGGAATGCATCACATGACTGTGCCATACCTGGATTCTCTCTAAATACGTACTCTCAAAAACACAAGAGTACAAGAAATACCCGTAGCATTTAGCCTGCACTGGAAAGCTCTCTCCCAGGGCATGCCAAGCCACAGACCAGTCTGTCCCATAGTTATTGCTTACGCGTAAAATTAAAAAGGACAGTACTTAAAAAAATACTGACGAGTTAGCAATATCTGTAGATATTTAACACACTATAGTTTTCCTTTTTTCTGTTACCAAAAATCTTTTTCTGTAGCAAAACAAATTGTAAACAGCCTGCAGTCAAACTTGTCCCGCTGAAACCAGTTTCACTTTATTTTAATTTAGGTCCCTCACTGCTACTCCTCTCCTGGTGGTACCGCATATCACCCACAAGCAGCCTTACACTACTCTGTCCATAAACCTGCACTAAGCATTCTTAAAGCATGTGGGAAGAAAAAATCCATGATAATTAGTATATAACCATGCTTGCAGTACAACACCAAAACAGTTGGTCAACGGTATAAAGTTTGGGGTTTTTTAGTAATTCTACTCCACACAAGCAAGGCAGACTTGCTCTCAGAGCCAGTCTAACCAATGTAGTTTTGCACTTTCTTTTCCACTCCAAGATTCTCTCTCACAAAAACCAAAAACATCACCTTGTCCTATTACAACTGATCATAAACGACAACTTAAGTGTCACTGACATGTCAGGCATTTAGAACAGAACTGTCCACACTAAAAATTGGAGGCTTGAAACATATCAGCTTTCCAAAGATATGCTAACTTAATGCATACAGATTTTGTTGCTATTCTCCCTAGTAACGGAATAAAACATGTATTTCACAACTCCATAGTAAGTTCTATTTTGCATTGTCTTGCTAATTTTTATGCAAATATATGAACATGCGTTGTTTTGACTATTAAGTTAAAAATCCCTAGAAGTCTTGAAATAGAATTGTACGAGGGCTTCAAGTTCCCAAGGCCAGAAAAGAAGACGGCTCTCAGAACCGTCACATTAAACACGCCACAACTGTTCACGGTGCTGTGTGAGGCCTGTGCTAAACATCCTGTACTATCCGTGCTCCAGCATCACTAAGGTTCTTCATGCTGAGAAAAGAACAGCAAACTCAGTTCAGGCTGCTTTCTTAAACTCTGCTTGGGTCCAGGAATACTGTTGTGTATGAGGCTGGAGATCCATCAAGCTCCTCACTTCTGTACTAAGTCTGTATTTAGTAGAACCTGCTAATATTATCTTCAGTGTTGATTCTAGAGCACCTACCTCAATGCAGTCACCTACTTAAAAGCCAAATAAAATAAAAAAAATAAAAATAATAATAAAAAAAGAGTAGGCTGAATGTTACTCTGTTCTGTGTTCCATACTGTTACGGTACTTCATATGATATCATAGACAACAAAACAGATGACACACTTGAATCACGGAAGTCTCCACCTGTGATCCAAATACACTTGAGTATATATAGCTGCAGGCGTGTTTAAAACATCCAGCATCATGCAAACACAGATTATCAGACATTTCTAAGCAGCTAGCATCATCTCTGCCTTTCCAGCTACTATCAAGAACTTTTATTCTTAGAATGATCTGTACATAAGCTTGGTGATAAATCTGAAACTCGGTGATTTAATTTGATTTTTTGTCCTAGATGACTAACCCCTACCCTTCACATTTAACCGTTCTGTTCAGCGATTTCAAAACGTGTAGCAGAAGCATCACATTGCAATGTGGTACTACATTAAAAAAAATACTCCCTAAAAACAAAGAATAAGTAGATTACCATTCTGCTTAAAGGTTCAAAACTTGTTAAGGCACAGAAAGTTGCAGTATTTTCAATCTCAAGCAACAATCCAAGCACAGAAACAAGAGAAAGATTTAATTCCAAATATTTGCCTAGACACCTGCCCATTAATTCTTCTCCCACATCACTGAAACAACCTTCATTCTGGAATCACAGAGAGCAAGCAGATAGTACAGAACTGGATGCATTAATGCTGAACGCTACTTACAGACACACAAGACCACAAGGAAAATCATGTACGTAACCAGCTCCCGTAAAACACTTTTCAGATATCGCTCTCTGCTGGTGTTGCCTTCTTCCATGAGTCTTGTCCCCCACAGACCTTAAAAGGAAAACATACATAATGATATAAACAGATGTCTGATACTAGATACACAAGTGACATAAGAAGTTAAGTGGTTTTGAAAGCTTAACCTATGTCATGTCTGCTGCAGGCTCTTCTATGAATTTTAAACTTATCTAAGTTCAAGCAAGAACAACTTCTTTGGGCTGCCCTTCCGTAGGCTGAACGGGGCCTGAGGCAGTATTAGCTATTCAAGAGATACCATAATAATTTAGTAATAGCTCAGCAGAACTCTTAACAGAATCTGCTGAAGATCTGCCAGAAGTGCTGTCGCTTAAAACCACATGGTACGAAAACAGATACAAGTATATAAAGACACGCACAAGATCCTTCAAGAAATGCAGTGCAGTGTTTTTTTTTTTTTTTTTTTTTTTTTTAAACATGAAAAGCATTGTTAGATGAATGAAAATGCACGTTCAGTATTTAATCTTTATTAGTAGTCTTAACTAACTTTCTACCTGAAAGGAGGATATGTCAGTCAAACGCATTTTTAAAGAAAACAAATTGTAACCTTCCTCTCCCAAACAGGCAAGGCATGTCCAACAGAGACACGTGGTGAGTATTTCTACTATCTCTTTCCCTGCACAACAGTTATCGAAACATTAGGAGTGGCCTAAACGAGCAATTGCCATCTAGATGTCAAGCTGGGCAAGTGCACCAGCTGAACTACCTCTGCCTCTTGCTAGCTTCATACTACATCTGACATTTTCAAGAAGACAGTGTAAGAGGAGTTATTGAACTTTGGTGATCCTTTCCAAAAGGGTAACACAGAAAAGCAAAAGGATCTTTTAAACGGAGTCCCTAGAAGAAGTCACCACCTGAGAACAGAAAGCAGTTAGTAACCACCATACTTTTTTCCTGTGCCTAACACAGGACAGAAAAAAAAGCTGGGAAGAGGTGCTGATGCTCAGACCAGAACTGATGCTCAGACCAGAACTGAGACCTTCAAGGAACTTCTCTTCATTTAAGCCTAAATAAAGCAAGGTGATCTGACCTTAGTTTATAGTGGGAGAGAAAGCATATAAAAATAAAAATTTACTCTTACAGAACCGCACCAAACTTCCACCCTTTTCCTTTTCAGGAATTTTAAACGGCCAACCTTTTAAAACATCCTTTACGTTCCCAGTAGATGGAAATGAAGTAAGCTCAACCTCCCTAGGAAAAACTCTCGGACCCTTCAAACATACCAGAGTAATTTGAAGTCAAATGGAACAGTAACAAGGGATAGCCAAGATACGTTATAAAGCTGACAACGAAGCGAGAGTTCAGTTGCTTTGTGACCACTGCTGTAAGACTAAGACGGACGAAGGGCTAATCTGCCTGCTGCAGAACTTCATTTCCTAACTGAGAGATGGGAATAAGGAAGCTCTTCCCTCTACCTGCAAATACAAGGTTTATTCTGACAAAAAATAATGTGTTGGATGTTTTAGAAGCCTTTCAGCTACCACATTTTTAAGTTGTGACCTAACCACAAAGTCAACCAGGAAACTGCTCTTGCATAGGCACAGCAAGCACTAGTAGTCTTAGCATTAACCTCTGCTCACACTCCTTAATGAGTAACTTAAAACCTTCACTAGTGTCAGCCCCCAAAACAAGAGAGCTTTTTCAAAGATGTTCTTTAAGGCTGAGTCTGAAAATTCACAGACAAAGACCACAGCTTTACTACACAGAATGCCAAATCCTCACCATTAGGTCATTCTTGAAGACAGAAGCACAAAACTAAGAACATTTACAGAGTCACTAATAATAAAGAACTCAACAAATTCAGCCTCTAACACAGCGCTACGTTGCACTAGCAACCTCATAATAAAGGCAGGAAAACATTACAGAAGAGAGGAAGAAAAGGCTGGAACAGCCAGTGAGCTAAGCTGGCAAGAGAGCCGAGTCCCGGCTGTCAGCACATTACTCACCAAGAAGAAATGCGGCGAGCAGAAAGCTTGAGAGCTCAAATTCTGTCCTATTAGAATACTGTGAGGAGTCAGCAAGGAACAGACAGTTACACGTGAATAAAAAAAAAAAAACAAAACGCCAAAAAACACACCGCACCAGAGACCATACAATGGTCTTTGTGTTACACGAACTCTGGATTTGCCTGTCAGCTAGCTTGAAGCTTTCATTAGTAGCCACGTTTTTAGAAGACATGTACATTATTCCCCTTTTTGCCATCTTAGAATATACGTTTAGATGCCTCAAGAATAGTGGCGGTAAGCAGTGCCGGATTTAAGTTGACATCTATTGCAAGCACCAAAACCATTTCATTTCTAGCCTCGATTAATCATTTTCAGTTCATTCCCTATATAAATTCGCTATTCACCAACTTTTTGACAGAATCTATGTACTCTTTCATTTATCAAACAAATCTGCAACTAACAATTCTCTCATACTCATTCTGTAGCCCAAATAGCTTACCCGAAGAGTATATGAACTCAGAAGAGTTACCAAAAAATAATGATCAAATGCAAATAAAAAAATAGATGAAATTTCATCTTACAATAAAAAGTCTAGCTTGTTAGGTAACACAGGAAATTAAAATCTTTCCATTTACACATATATAAAGTGTTATATAAATATATATACATGTAATATATATAACGTATATGTAATTACATATACACATATACCTACATAATCATAAAGCCAAGTTTAAAAGGTACAGAATGCATATAAAGTAATTCAGATTTATGTAAAAGTCTTAAGTTTTGAAAGCACTCAAGCCCAGATACATATCACTAACTAATCTGCCTACACAGAAATTCAGATGCTGGGGAAAGAATGGGGCTGGTGGAAGGAGAGGAAAGTGACCCTCAGGCAAAGATGCTTCGTCCCAAAACAACAACAAAACAGTCTCACAATCCTTAGTTCACACTCCTTAGTAAGGTACAATCGGAGCCTGCACGAGTTCAACCCAGTAAAACTGCCATGATGCATTCTTCGTAAAGGTAACAATTAACGAGTGACTGGAAATGGTATTTGATACTTCCATTTAACAATAACTAAGAAAACCTTTCAAGAAATACCCCACGTGCGCTCCTTAGTATTGACGCGCATGAGGACACAGTAGCACTGGGTGACCAAGTACAGCTCTGAGGGGCAGATTACCTTTCCAGCCCGGCTCTGGAAATGGAATTTGCTCTTACCCTTCAAAACTTTTGATGACTTTCTCCTTAACAGAGTTGAATAGTCATCCCCTCCACTCCCCTCAGCATCTGGGATGTTTGCTGAAGAGATCTGCAAAACTAGAGGGACTAAAGCTACTTCACAGAGACTCACGTCAGAATCTGAAAAGAATCCACAAAGAGAAGAACCTAAAATACAGATAGTGTGAAGCAGCTGACTTTCTATTCACTCAGTAACTCCCGTTACAGTCTTGCTGATAGTTGCAATTACCAAAATCCCATTACCTTAAATCCTCTCTACATTTTTATTTCGCGACTGACAGCAAGAAAGGCTGTCATTCAATAGCCCTCAGTTGATGAGCGGCAGCTTGTTTAGCCATGGTAACACTATCACTTATGACATCCAAAGGATTAATCCCTCTGGTTGAATTCTGTCTAGTGAAATGGAATTTCATTAAATAAATCTATGCTAACTTTCCTCTAGTCGTCTTGAAATAAAACTGAGTATGCCATTTTCCAGTCTTCAAAGATCCTCACGGTTATCCATGAAATGTCAAAAGAACTACTGAGTGCTCTTTCCAGTATTAAAACCTCAGTTATCCTTCAAGTGCCCTATATTAATTTCAGGCTTGAAATCAGCCCTTTCGCTGGGTAGCCTGCAGCGACCACATTCTTCAGAGAGGGTTAGTTACCTATGCAGCAGGCAAGTACGGCACCTTGCACTACCTCCACGGCACAAAAGTCATAGCTAGCCATTTATTGTGCCTATGAATTAATGGCAACATTCTCACGAAAGAGCCAGGAAAGGATCTGTCTACTACAGTAACTTTAGCTACACTTGCCTATAAACACAAAATGTACGCAGGCCAGAAATCAACAGAAACTGTGGACGGTAACCACAGGGATAAATCTGCTCCGAACATTCCTAGAACATGAAACCAAGTCTTTTCATTTTACAGCTAAAAATAGAGTACTACCAGTGTACACTGACTGTCTGCAACAGCAAGAGGCAGCTTGGTCCACGGCCATTATTGAAAATATTTGTTTTCTTGCACTGCAAGAACGTGTAACTTTGCACCACTCTCCACACAGCGCATGCTTGATTAATAGGCTCACACCCCGTAGTGTAAAGAGAGCCACACCAGTCCAAAGGATGCATCATGTTATCACGTCAAAGGTTGTCCTCATCTTTCAGCCTGAAAGCAGAAATTAAAAGTTCAAGCTATGGATGCGCATCAGCTCCCAAACTGGTTATTCTAGCCCAAGACACATTGCTTTCAGGTAGCAGGACAGGCAAGGAATCCGTCTACGAGAGCAGGGCCAGAACATCTTCTCTGGCAACATCTGCCTGATGCTGACGCTGCTGAAGGCTCAGCTGCACTCATTCTGCCCAGCAAGCACGCAGCTTCACCAAAAACCAACCCCTCTTGGTTCTGCTGCTTGCCCAGCTGAACAAGGTGCAAATACATATATAGGCTTAAAAACAAAAAACCTGCTAGAAAAAAGCATACGAAAAGTAAGCAACCTTCTTCCACCCAAAACCAACGCTAAGCTGTAGATGCAGATGGAACTATAGATGATTCAACAAAGCATTTTACCAAGGCTCCTTCAGAATGGTACCTCATGGCAGGGCAGGGCAGGGGGGAGGTCTGTCCGACAGACTTTCTTTCCATCTGCGAATACGCTGACCTTACACAAATCACATGTTACTAAGCTCTGCCTTCAGGTTGAAGATGGCTGAGAAACCAGCATCAAAATCAGTCCTAGTGTGGATAATCTGAGTATAACTGCAGAAACCATGACGGAGATGAAACAGTAGCAACTTAAGCCAGGTCATCATGACATCACTCACCTCAT